AGCTGCTGCCGGGGCGATAGGGACCGGTCTCGGCAGCGAGACGGGAAGGGAGACCGCCGCCGGGAGGATTGACGCGACCCCCCGACCGGAGAACGGCCGCATTCCCGCGAATCAGTCCGGGGGGGCGAGCGGCGCGCCGGGGACCGAGAGCGGCGATCGTCGCGGGCAGGGGACCGGCGAGCAGTGCGGGGAGGAGAGCGGCGGGCGGCACGAGCTGGAGAGCAGCGGGCGGGACGGGAGTCAAGCTCCTGATGGAGGTCCTCCTCCCTCCGAAGTGCATCCGGCGACGGGCGCGGAGGAGCCCGGCGATCGTCAGCCCGGCGCTTGGGGCGGCCCGCCCCGTCATCCCACTCGCGGGGCATGGCCGGCGAGGTGGGGGGGAGGGCGAGCGGGAGCCGGCAGGGGCGACGGGACTAGCGGTGGCGGCGGGCGGGACAGCGACGGGGGGAGAGGCGGGCGATGCGGGAGGAAGTGGCTGGCGGGGGAACCCTAAAGGCGGCCAGATGGACCGCCTCGTCGGGCCGAGGCCCACCCGGGGGCGGGGCTAGGCCGTGAGGGGGGAGGCCCAGAAGGCCCGGCCAGCGCGAGGCCAGCAGCCTGCGGAACCGACGGCGGCCCGGGAGCACTGGGCAGGCGGCCCACAGGGCGGCCCACCACAAGCGCGGCCCGGTAGGACCAGCCAGGGGAAACCAATCGAGGAACGAGGGTTTCCCCCAGCGCCGCCGCGGAAAAGGACGCCGACAGGGCACGGCGGGGGCGGCGGGGCCAGGCCGGGGTGGGCAAGACGCCGGGACGCGGGGGCACGGGGGCGCCGAAGGCCGAGATGAATGGACGGAATGGGGACCGCCTGTAAACCACCGACGAGAGCGCCAACGAGGGCGTCGTCGGGGCGTCGGCCGGAACAGGGGAGAGAGCATCGGAGGGCGGCGACGGACCGGATGATCGCCAGGAGGAGCGCGCGATGCCGCGGTCAGCCCGGCCGGCGACGCCCCATCCGCCGGGTCGGCAGCCCCGAGGGCGCGCGCCGGAGCCCAAGGCCGCGCCTTTCGGCAAAGCCGCCCGAGACGAGCCCGTAGGCTGGCACCGGCGCCGGCCGTCCTCGCGGGCAGCAGGACTCCCACCCCTGGGAGTCGAGCCACCGGCAGAGACAGCCCGAGCAGACCGAGCCAGAGCCTTGGGGGGGACGCGGTCGCG